CGTCCTTTACATTCTCATTCAACACGTCACAGGAGCGCTCTCTCGTTTCATTTGTAGAAATGCTGTATCGCTGTACTACAGTCACAGTGGTGTGAACAATGGGGTGAATCCAACGTAATTCAGAATAGCGTACAATGTCCAGTTATGTATCACGGTGATATCTTTGGCGTGATATCCAAAATCAGTGCTATTAACGACTTGTAGTCCATCGACCTCGGTTAAAGTCGTAGAGTTGAGGTTAAATGTACACGTAAGATAATCTCGACAAATACGCCTTTTGAAGAACGGCGGTCGTCGGGCAGCGAGTGTTCAAATTTCATGCGAACAAACACTGTATTTTACACGCGTTGTGTACGTCGCTAGGGTATAATAATATCAGTACTGAATATTATTCAATATGAAGCGACCATCAATTGTCGACTGGCTATACTCACTAAATCTGGCCATGTCGTTATCAACGGCTCGCCGTCCTCTGGTTCATCGTCAGATAGAGCACGTTTGTCCACATCCTACGTTGAGAAATGAGTAATATGAAAATAAATAAAAAATGATATAATCAGCATACGTTCACAAAGTTGCTTTAGATTAACTGCAACTCAAGATTACGAGTGTTGATAAATTTAAAATAGCGGTACGGTAGTTTGTATTCTCCGACGTCCCAGGCCAACGCTAGTCGTTGACCGCGAAAAACGACTCTAATACCTAATATTTATTCCGCGTTGTTCTACACTACCTGGCCAATGTGGCATACAAGGTTCTTAGTACAAATAAATAGGCTACTCACTCTGGTGTATCTTTCTACTGGATGACCATGCGAAAACTCAGTTAGAAATAGGCAACACAACGCAATGTAACGAAACAACATTTTCCCATCTAGGTTCCAACCACAGCTCCCTGGTTCCAACGTACTGGTACATGAACCTATCGCGCTCCAATTTATATCTGTCTCATTTCCGCTATTCTGACTAAAGAAGTATCGCAGTACTACGGTAAGTCACGAACCAATAGACTCGCACTGATAACGAGATACACCCACGTGACGCCATCGGTTAAATAAACAAAACTTATCTGCAGTGTATACTAGTTTACATGTATTCACAGTACCTCTGTGATGTATTCAATCCTAAATCATAATTCAGTTACTAGCTTTGAAGAGTGAGGTCATTGTATAATGGTATTATTAATTAATTAACCACTGAATTTTAATTTCTCAATTTTGAGACTATTGCTAAATTACCATGACAAAGTGATGTTACATATCAGAGCCGGTAATTCACAACGAGCGGAAATAGCTTATCCAGCACGAGGACAAGCAATTGTGTTCTTATCCATTGTGCAAAAACCATTTCCATTTTTAATTTGAGACGTGCTTTTATGATCAGTAATTAAATACTAATGATCTCTGTACAAACAATTGAAATTACAGTATAATTAATATTCTGTTGGCAATCGTCACGCAAATTGTATACGGCTAATAGTATCGACATTATTCTACTTGTTGGGGCTAAATTGTGTGTTGTGTAGGGTTTCAAAACAAAATGCACAATACATGTAACACAATAACTATCTAACGTATGCGGAGAAATAAGCATAAGCATAAAAACATTTTTTTTCATTAACATCCTCTACATTATCAGAAAAGTATCTCTTTATTTCTGTGGCATTGGCAAGTAATTATTGATAAAATAATAGAACCAGCACGGACGGTAAAGGCGGGATTTGCTCTGACGAAGCGTCTGTTTGAATAGACTGCTCTGTTTAAAATTGTATATTGCAAAATAGACTAAGCTATGAAGTAATAAACGTCTGAACTGAAACAATACTAGTATTATTCTCGCTACACTATTTCCGGGTCCAACAATCCGCCCTTGTACAAGATATTTTTTCTAGCGCGCAGGCAACTGTGATAGGTATTTTTGATGGTTAAAAACCTTTCACTTAGGTAACCGGGATTCGGTCGTTTCCACGCTAGGCTGACAAAAGACACACACAAGCTTCGTTCATGTTCCCAAAACGATTCTCTGCCAAGTCCCTGGTTTTCACCCGAGACAGCATTAAATCCATCTTTATTTCTTGTCACCCCTTAACCAATTACAATCAGTATAAGAGACTCCAAGGCCTTGCCTTCAAACAAACAACCAATCACATGAAAGTTTTACACATCATAATCAATTAATTACTCGTCAAGCTGTCTAGAAAAAACATTTCTATATATTGTCAACGCCAACTAATATTGATGGGGTAATAGTCTCGCACTAACATTCCACAAAGATACCACCTTAGTTAAAATCGCAAACAACATTGGTTTAGAATTACAGCTACTGTCTTGTATCTTAAAAACTGCAGAGTCATAAGATGTTTTTGGTTGATTTCGACCAGCTCGCCATCTGGTCTTGTCATTAACCTTTATCAGTATATGTCATGGCAACCACTGTCAAACTGACTGAAATATAAACCATGATACAACTATCAGAAGCAAATCTCCCTCAGCCGGTGGAATAGCGGGGAATAGCGCCACATATTCAATGCAATAATGCCGATACTTATACACACATCGCAAGATTATAAGCGTTTTAAACAAAAACATGTTTTTAGGCTTCGTCGTCCTGTATTTCGTTTAGTGATTCGAACTTCCCAGATTGCGTAAAAACGGATAGTTTCGCGATTTTGACACGGGAAATGCCTTGGCTTAATTATTTTCTGAGGGACGGCCGCTTAGGTATGTGCTCGTAACTTGCAGCACACGTTAGGTAATCAAACAAAATGACCTTGTACTAAAGTACAAACAGTATGTTCAAGGTATTCACTTTTTCATAGCATAAAAACGATTTTATTGTGACACCCTCAAATCGACTGATTTCCATTCCCCTTACGCTACCACTTGAAATAGTATTTTTTGCTTCACTTGTTTATTTGTCTTCAATTACGTTTTGGTGGCTGTCACTGTCGTCTTCGCAGCCTTGCCGATGAAGTTGTGGTTCAAATTCAAGTAGCTATCGCCGCGGCTGAGAAAATTCGAAAAATCATTCAACTAATACACCGGAAGTCAAATTTGCTTAACAATGCTTTTGTCTTTGTCGCCATATTGATTTTTTCTTGACAACTACATCATTTAAACCTTAGTAGGGAAATTCACTCCATCAAATTGCGTTCGCCATGCTAGGCAACCAAAAAATGTATTTGCACTAAAGTACGTTCAAGATCTGGACTTTCTCATAGCATAAACACGATTTTACCCTCGCTTACTAAAGTCAAAATATAATTGGGGTCGCAATCACCGTAGCTATCGCCGAGATAAGTAGTATATCACTTCTTGGTTATTATTGTCGTCCACAGCCCTTCTATAGAGGGACTGTGTGTCGTCCAAGTAATCCACGTCCCAAATTTTGGTTCCTGGGCGCCACTAATAAATAAGCTATATCACCACTGGGCCATCTTCGCCAGCCAAGGATCGTTTATTAGGCCGAAGCCTCAACATTAACCCTTGGCAGATTTCACCACAATTTACTGTATGTCACACGCCCTCAAGCGATTATAAGATTAACTCGGGCTCGTTTGCATTACCCAATCAGAACTCACGATAGAAACGACACATACTAGTACTTGGTAAATTAAAAATAGTTGAATATAGAAATCAACGAAAGATGAACTGTCTAGCTTACTGACCATCAAAAGAAAGCGCTTAGTGCTGTATCTGATGATGATGTGTGATGTGTTTGTTCACGCTTACTAAGACGGTTGCAACGGAGACCGGATCGGGCGAGACGATATGTTATCATGCAGTTTCGACAGTTTAATAAAAACGGTTTGCACAAATGTCTAGCCATTTTATCGTCTTCATTTACTTGGCCACAGGCAATTTTAAACGTTGTAATAAAACATTTTGGAAACATGTCAACGAATGTAGACCTTTCTGTTCTTGACTCGCAGTGAATTGGCGCAAAGAATGCACGTCTGTAATGACGTTCAAATTTATGATACCGCAACGCTGATTGGTGGCGCCAGCTTTTATGGCGCGCCCAATCAAACGACTCAATTTAACTTCAGTGAAATACAGCTTTTCCTATCGCGATCACGCACCGGTTCGTGAATGGCCGGCTTTAGCGAAACCTTGCGATTCGGACGATGCCACTGGGTCGAATCAATGATATGTCACCCAAAAATGAATGATTGGGTGAAAATCGTTTCTTTATTTTATTTTTGACCTCGGAAAGACATTCGCGCTAAATTTTGGATTTGGTGGATAGTCTCTCACCTGGGCCGTTGGTGTCTCTCACCCCGGATTGATTCACGTTCCAAATTTTGGTTCCCCTGGCGCCTCTAATAAATAACCTATCCTATTTTTGGCCTCGAACTTTTTCGCTCGGAAGGCAATAAGAATCTATTTTCAAGGACGCAGGTTATGGGGTGAGAATACCGCCAAAATTAGCTTGGTGTCATTATTTGAACATTGTTTAGTTGTTTGATCTTTATTTGGAAACTTGTTTGGTTATTATTTGGTCATTATTCGGTTATTTGGTCTTTATTTAAACATTATTTTGTGCTTATTCCATTAGTGTGTTATTACTGCAGTATCGTATTGCCATTGTTTCATTATTCCAACTTTATTTCTTAATTATATCATTATTGTGTAATTGTTGCAATATTATTTTGTCATTGTTTCATTCTATTACAATTGTGTCGTTATGTTGACATTATCTTGACATTCGATTGTCATAAGATTCGGTTATTTTCACCACAGTCAGC